ATAGATAGATAGATAGATAGATAGATAGATAGATAGATAGATAGATAAAACAAACTAAAACAAATCAACTGATATACTTTAAAGATGTACTGACCTCAGAATTGAAATTAGAACATGTGTTAGATTGGGGAAGGGGCTTTGTTTTTTGTTTTCACAGGAGAAGAAAAGCTATGGATACCATCAAAATTGATAAAGATTCTATTTGAACAAAAGACACCTCTTAATTAGAAGAGATGATATCTCATCAAACAGCATGGCTGTTTAATCTAAACTAATCTATAAAACTAACAAATGCTTTTCATTTAATCAGATATAACTTGCGAAAAAAAATCTCCACAAAATTAAGGTTAATAAAGGGGTTTGTTTCTGTCTTTTCAGGAGAATGAAGGCATCCACCTAAAAAATATGAAGACCACTGGACAAATGAGACATCTGAAGAAAAGGAACAAATGATAAATAAAAAAGTCTAAAGAAAAAGTGTAAATTGGCCAAATGGTATATAACATTTCCAACACGATAAATTTTCATAAATTTTCCCAAATGTTTGTTTCTGCTATTCTCTACAGACAAATGGTCTTTTTGTAGTCCTAAGCAATTAAAGATTAAAGCTGGCTTTGTAGTTGGAGTGTGACTCGCTCCTTCTCTAAACCCAAGCATGTTTATTAAAGTGAAATTCAAAATCTCTGTCTCATGTCAGAAGAGCCAACTGATATGGGACATAAGAAAAACAAACATTTAATGACTATTTTATTGTCACTAATCTCATAATCCTTTAGTTTTAAATTGACTCTTCAACAGCTTTTCTTAAGGTATAAGATCTTTTTCGCCATGATATTAATAGTCACATAGAGTACTAACTAATTCTAGGGAAAAGTTTCTGTACATGATTTTGAGTTTGAGTCTCTATCAGTTTTCTGCTGTGAACCATGAGCATGTCTAACAGTGACCCTTGAAGTCTCCAACAGGAGGATGGTGCCCCACAATGATGATTCCTTCTGGACTATGATAACCCCACTAAGCTGAAAAACACCACATAAAGATCAGCTTTGGACTATAAATTTCTCTGAACAATTTTGAGGTGACTAGTTGAGATGATCAAGCCTAACAGACTAGTCTAACCATGACTTGAGACAAACTCCGTACTTTCCTATTACACAGAGACTGGACAACAAATTATACAGCTACCTTTCCCAGGACTTGACAATTAATCAAAATTTTGCTTTTCAGGATCCCCTAAAGATACAATCATCCATCGATAGCAGGAAGTAAATTTAAAACACTACACCCACATTCCCAAGAGGTAGGGTAGGTGATTTTTGGTCATTCAGTGGGTTATGGATATTTGTCACTGTTTAAGGGGATTGGTTACAAGTTGTTAGTGGTAATGGTCAGGAAAAAAGCTAAACAAAGAAAATTATATTCAAAGTTCTTGTTTTCAAAAAGAAAAAAGGGGGATATAGATATTATAGGGTAAAATAATAGATTATTAAATCTATTCTGAAAAGAAAAGAGGGAGGATATAGTTATTATAAGATAAAAGGTAGATTATTGACTCTACATTTTTTAAAAAAGCAAGTATTAGCTTTAAAGGTTTTACATTGGATTGGACTTTTGTATATTGTATACAAATTTTTATATTGATACAAAATTTGAGATTTTTTATTTTTTTAGAACATAGTGTACATACATTTCTACTTTTGCTCAAAGTATTATACCTATGCAACTTATTTAACAGTGTAATAAGAATTTCTAGTTCTTGAAAATATTGTTACTAATTCTTTAGGATAATAATGAACTGCAGGTTAGTAGTTAATCACCTATTATAGTTGAACATTAGATATGTTTTCAAGGTCAAACAAAAATATATTTTAGATAGAAAAGTCATCTTCAGACACTTCGGATATCTACAGAAGATGGCATTTAAGATGTTTTAATAACACAGGTTCTTCTTTTTATGACAATGAGACCTGTTTGCTGCTTGCAGCACCAATCTACTTCAAAGAAGACAATGAGCATTGAAGAAACTCCACATGAAGCTTAGTTTTTTGTGGCAAATGCAAGCCACTGGGCAAGAAAATGTCCTTGCCTTGACTGTTGACAGTATGCTGTTTTAATTGGACAAGCAGAAAACAAAAGAGAGTGACTGTCAAATATTGTCAAAACAGGGCAGGACAGACCTTCAAATATTGGGCTTCACAGAAAAGTCTGTTGAATATTCTAGTCCTGCAGGCCAAAGATGGTTGCCCCAATGTTGCAGAGTAATTTTGGATGACTTTCCAGGTAGCAAGCTGTTTCTGTCATTTCTCACATTTTTTACATTGATTGCTCAGACTTCCTGTTTACTCAGTTCATATTATTTCCTTCTAGGGTCTCTGAAGGAGTTGAAGACTAGACAGCTATAGTTACAATTTTCCTTGTTTACCAGACTCAGAAAAGAATCTCACTAAAGTGGTGTAAAGTGTAAAAGATTGAGAGACATTAAAAGATAAGTTGATAATGCAAATTAGAATAGAAAGTGAATTAAGTACAACCTTTTGGACTCATCAACATAGAATAGATATTTTCTCTGAATTCATCAGATACAAATGGATTAGACATTGTTGATAAATTTATTGCCTGCATATATTGACAATGATGTCAAAATGTAAATAATGTATAAATATTTTGATCAGAGGTCAAAATGTATAATGTAATATGACAAATATATCCTAAAATTGTATCAATATACAAAACATCTTAAGCAGAGGTAGAAGCATGCATGCATACAATATGACAAAATAACTTTGCCTAGGTGTACAAATATTGTAAACAGAAATAGGAGCATATTCAATATAATTTAAATTTGTATCAATATACAAGAATCTATTCCAATGTAAATTGCCTATAAGTAATAGCTCACAACTATTCACTCTGTTCCTCTCTATTATTATTAGAGGAAATATTATTAGTAGTAGTAAACTCACATTAATCTACCTATTATCCTATCCAATTTTCCTTTTATTTTCAAAGAGATCCCTGAGTCTACATAATTTTCACCCCAAACCCCAATCCTATACCAGTCATAATCAACACCTAATTGATGTCCCTAATTCTGAGGACAAACTTTGTTGGGAGAGGGAATGTCATCTTCTAGAATGTCATCTTCCAGCTGTCATGGGGGTAATGTTCTTTCTATTGGGTCCTGTAAAAGTAAAGTGATGGTTATGTTTCAAGATTACTGTCTGGTATAATTGCAAATAGTCTCTGAGTAGTTCATAGGGTTTTTCAGAGACCCCTATCTGAAGTTCTGGCCAGAATGTTGTAAGAAGGTGCACCACTTCAGCTAACCAAGTTGGAACCATCTTGAGCAGCTGATACTCAAAACCGGTATTAATGTAGCTCTATCAACATCATAATGTCATATCAATCAGGTGGAATTGTTATTGTGGGGCCCCATTTTCTTCCTGGAAACTTCAAAGATTACTGCAGGAAAATTTATTGTTCATTATGGAAAACTTTAACATTATTCATATAGACACATATTCAACAAAAGGTACAATAGAGACAAACATAGGTATGGAGAAAAGTAAACTTTTTCCTAAATTCTTTCTTCTTTCTGTTCCATACAGAAAGAGATGGCTCCTGACATGAGAAAGAAACTCTGAATTTTTCCCTTAAAAACATGCTTGGATTTAGAGAAGGCTAGCCATTGTCCAACGCCAAAGCCAGCTTTGATTTTTAAGTAGAGCTATCTACATGTTCAGGTAATTAAGTATTATCCTGCAGATGACCTGTCCTCATAAGTCACATTTCTCTTTGCTCAGTGATCCTTTCTGGATAGTTATCTTCTTAAGCATCTGAGTGTCCAGGGTCTCTGGACTTTTTGAAAATGAGTATTTTCCTGCAAAGACAAGACGCTGCCCCAACCCTTATAAAGTTTCTTTACCACCTGTATGATTGACCTCTGTGGATGAGCTGTCATTTCTCTTTATAAACAGGTTTCTCTTTTCAAACTGGATCTTTATTAATTTTGGTGGTATTCATAGCTTTTCTTCTCCTGTGGAAACAAGAGCGAAACCCCTTCTCCATCTGCTGGTTTCTGTTATGAGGTCAACACATCCTTAAAATACACTGACTGATTTAATTCAGAAGTTTTTCTGTTATCTAATGTCCCTCTGCTGCTGTTGTTCTTTCCTCATTGGCGTTAAGAAAATTCAAGGTTAAAAAAGCATTTTGCAATCTATTTCTGGGGGTATTTTCTACCCCTTCCTGTTTGTTTAACATATCCTTTTCAGTTCGATTTGATCTTTCTATAACTGCCTGACCTGTACGATTGTTTGGTATACCTGTAATATGCTTTATAATATAATAAGCAAAAATCTGTTTCATTTTCTTAGAGACATATGCTGGATCCCTATCTGTCTTTATCTGTGCAGGTATACCCATGATGTCTCTATAACTTCTAATAAATGTGTAATTACTGAACCAGCCTTTTCTGAGCTCAAAGCAGTTGCCCACTGCTTTGAATAAGTGTCAATGGTGTGGTGTGCATATTTTAACTTTCCAAAATCTGCAAAGTGGAACACATTCATCTGCCAGATTTCATTCCTTTGAATAACCTATGGGTTACTCCCTGCAGGTAGTGGTGTTTGATTATAGAAAGTGCAAGTAGGACATCACTTTAATAATTTCCTTAGCTTGTTGCCATGTAATAGGAAACTCTTTTTTAACCTTTGCTATTGACAAAATTTTTATGAAATTACGAGGCTTTCAGCAAATTTTCAATTAATAATCAATCACACATTACCTTGTGCTAGAGAACCTGGCACACACTTATGGGATCAGATGTGTGTATGTATATGGGACAAAGCCTATTCCTGATGAATGAACAATGAAGTCAATTCTGTATCATCTGGTATAAATTCAGTGGTGTCAATATGCAAAACAACTCTTTCTGTGTATTGCAAATCAGTAACTATATTGAGAGGTTCTTTAAAATCCCTTAGTAGCATGAGAATAGCATATAATTCTGTCTTTTGGACAATTATAAGGGCTTTGTTCCACCTTACTTAAATCTTCTGATTTGTAATCTGTCATTCCTGATTTATTTGCATCAGTATAAAATGTGTGGGCTCCAGTTATTGGTGTGTCACATACAATGTGGGGGAAAAAATCCAAGTAGTTCTCTTTACAAGGTTAATTCTATCACTTTGGGGATAGTTGACATATTAATCTCTCTTAAAATAATTAGCACAAGCTCTTTGCTACGATTCATTGTCTCCCATAATTTTTTAATTTCATCAGTAGTAAAAGGCACTACAATTTCTGCTGTGTCTATTCCTGCTAGTTAATGAACCTCAATTTTCCTTTTATAATTAATTCAGAGATCATTTCCACATAAGTTTTTATTTTTTATTTGGTTTATGTGGTAAAAATATCCATTCTAAAA